ATTACAATGCAAATACTGACTTGAGCCCCACCACTGCATGGGTTAGCCCTACCATAGATTACCCAACAATCGGCTGGGATTGCCTCGAAAGTAGACGAGAATAGCCGATCGCAGCCAGGGGAGGTCTCAAAAAGCTCGCCTGAAGTCGGACAGCTCGGAGTCGGCTTCTTCTTCTTCTTCTTCTTCGGCGGATTGCAAACAACTTTAAGGTGCATACCGCCACCTCCGGAGTCGGCTTGACTCGGTTTGCATTTATAAAGAATGCACACATGTGTTTAATCGTTAATGTCAGATATGTACTAAGTAAATACATTTGTTCCTGCTCAAGATTAGATTCAACTTTATTGTTATTGCAAATATTACAGGTACTGAGACAACGAAATGCAGTTTAGCTTCTAACCAGGTGCAACAAGCAGTAAAGTGAAAAGTAATGTACACAATCTACAGAATAAAATATAGAATGAATTGAATGATGAATAAACAGTGAGGGGTAGGAATACACTAGATATCAGCCTGTGAGCAGTATGAACAGTGTGTATGAATATGCTAAGATATATAAAGTATGAAAACGGTAAGCAGTGCAAGTATAGTATAAAATATATAGATATTAATTTAATGATGATAAACATTGTGGAACAATGATGAAAAATGGGAATGGATGTAGCGACGTAAAACTGACACAAAACAACAACAAACTTTTGCTGAGCCAATTGGAGAGTTTCATCACCAGCACGTGGTAAAAACCACCAATGAGCGCTCAGCTCGAGATACCAGCGAGTCGTTTCCCATCAAGCATTTCGCTTCCGCAGCCCGTGGAGAGGAACCTCGCTCTCAAGGCTGCGGGCGTCTTTGTCCCGCGAGATTTCAACGTGTCGTGTAGGCGAGCCTACAGAGCAAGTCGGACAAAATGACTAACCATCATGCAACGCACTAGCAAGACGTTGATCGCAACTGCGCAGTTGCGATCAACGTCTTGCTAATGCTAGTTGCTAGTCTATGCAAATGGTGCAGTGACGCGTCCTAAAACCCGGAAGTAAGCTTCACTCGGATTCCCTCGACAAAAGAGCAATGGATTTCTCCATAGGATTTTGGAAAATAGCTCGAAATAAGGTCTGTGGAAAACGAACCTGTTAGATAAATGCACGTTTTGTTCAGCCGGATAATATCCACATGTCTACCCTACTTTTATTATTTTCGAATCATAAATCTAAACGATAGATTTATGATCGATAGATTTATAATTAGCATAAATTCGTTCATGATGGCTCACTTCAGTGATAGTGATGACATCGTTGCGAAATTATTAACCGAGTCATTTTCAAGATTGAGTTACAATGATAAACTGGAGTGACAAAGGATCAGCTGAATGACCCGCAAGTGCTTCATCCAAAAGGACAGGAGGATAGACTTTGTGTTTAAGTGATTTGATCATCAAAGGTAGGCCAAAGTCATTTTCAATGCGGGCCGCCGTGCCGACTTAATTCATTTGTAATTGTTTATTGGCTGTGGGTGCCCTGTCATGATAGGTGTTTATATAAATGGTGTTGTTTTGTGTGGTAGAGGGTCGCTGTCATTAATGCGTTTTGCACCCCGGGCCGCGGTTTTGATATTCCGCTGAAGTATACGCTGTGACGTAATATCTCTTCTTTTTTTTCTCGAGGGAAGGGGGTTCAGAGGGCCTAGGTATAAAAGTCACGGCTCGCCACTGGTAGTAGGTCATGATGTGATCTACTCCAAAAAGCCCTGAGTGGGAGGGTAATTTATTTACAAGAGTTGTGGCTATGTTTGTGAAACATTTTTTCAAGTACTTGGCCACATCCAGTTTGTCTGTGATGAGCCTGTTATCTGTCTTTATGTTTAAGTTAGAAAATCTCGTTTTGAGTTTTTTACTGCAGCCAAGCTGGTTATTGAGTAATTTCCAAAGTTCACAGGGTTTATTTTTGTTTTCCTCAGTTTTGACATTGATGAAATTCTTTTTGGCAGTTTTGATCATGGAGCTTACGTCATTTCTTAGTCCGTTTCTTTCAATTTTGAGTTCAGTCACGTGGGCCTGGAGTTCACTGCTCGTGCTTTTGGAAAGCATTGACTGACTTTTATGAAACTCAGAGCATTTTTTGTCTCTGGTTTTCATGGCGGTCAGTATGCCGGAGTGCATCCACGGCTCAGCACGATTTGTTACCCTGGTTGTTCTTAGGGGGGCCAAATCATTGAGTATTGCAGAGAATTTGTTTTTGAAACCAAGCCATGTTTCTTCAACTTGTGTACCACTGAGCTCATCTGACCAGTCCAGGCTCTCCAGTTCTAGGTTAAAGGCCTCGCTAGAGTAGTTTTTGAGGTCTCTAGATATGACTGTTTTGTGACAGCCGGCCCTTTGTTTTAGCTTTTTGCGGGTACAGAATATCATATAATGATCACTTAAACCGCATGCTATAACCCCTTTACTGGAGATCCTGGACTTGTCAGAGGTCAGAATGAGATCAATGGTAGTTTGTGTTGTTTCACATACCCGGGTGGGTTGGGTGATTAGCTGGCTGAAGCCGTGCAGATCACAAATCCTACTGAAGGACTTGAAGACGGACGTGTCTTTACGTTGCATATCCGTGTTCCAGTCTCCAATAATAATTGTCTCTACATCCCCCACATCAGCCAAACACCCATCTAATGTATCATAAAAGTCACTCTGTTCCGGTGGTCTATAGATTGTCCCGACTATTACAGATTTAGCATTGTCAAAAATAATTTCAACCCACAGATTCAATATTTTCATGATGCAGGTCAGTACCGTTTTTGAAATTGGTGTCTTTATGTATGTACATGCAGACACCACCTCCATTCACGTTCCTGTCCCTTCTCACTACAAGATAATCTTCAATTTCAATCTCTGAAGCTGTAATGGAATTGTCCAATTTGGTCTCAGAAAAGCATAATATGCTTGCCTTACCATTCATGAATAGCTGCCTGAGTTCAGCCAGTTTGTGTCTCAGGCTGTTAGTGTTCAGATGAAAAATATGTAGTCCATTTTTGTTGCTTAAATGCACAATGTCGTCAGCTTGCAGATATGTGTCTTTGTCCGTTACAGCAACCGGCTTGCGGCCTGCCGTGGTGTTTGGAGAGGTGGGGTGGTGGTGGGGGGAGGGAGGCTCCGTTGTAGCTTTAGCCGTTGATATGCTAGCAGGGTGGCTAACAACATGGCGGATATTTGTTCCCTCGGATCTCGGTTCTCTTCCTCTCGTCACTGCCTCATGCGTGTCTGTCTGCCGAGGCGTCCCCGGGGGAATGTCGAAGTCTCCGTTAATTCCTCGGTCTCCGCTGTCTCCACGGTCTCTGTTGTCGTCGCGTAGTTGTTGCTGCAGCGGAAGAGATGCTAGTTGTGATGCTAGCTCCTCGAGCCTGCGGGACTGGCTTCTTGTCTGCACCGGGCCCGGATTCAGATGGATGTCTCCCGCTAACAATAAGACCAAGATGATCATACTTCTTCGGTCTAGTTTGCCTGACGGGGGTAAGTACTTTCGCGTCGGGTTTGCAGTTAATAATGCATGAATGCTTGCACTTCCAAAAGCGAGGTGTTTCCTTTCCCAGCCGTTGAGAAGGTAAAAGTCATTGTGGTTCATTTATCCCCGCTTTCATTACTCTCCTTCTCTAAGTGATGTTGCCTCATTGATGAGTTGAGGTAGGAGTCCATAATCCATATTGTCAGGAGGATGACATATGTAAAAAATCGTGAAGAATAACCTCCAAAGCGGGAGCTCTCGAAAATGCGACCACTCATAGCGAAACCGGATGCTCCCTTCACTAGCGCCGTAACTGTTAGCTTGAACGAAAACACTCAGCTAACTGGACGATAAAAACAGGCAAGGAACCAAATGTATGTAGTGAGAGGGGGGCGGAGACGCTCCCTTCACTAGCGCCGTAACAGTTAGCTTGAACGAAAACACTCAGCTAACTGGACGATAGAACAGGCAAGGAACCACATGTATGTAGTGAGAGGGGGGCGGAGACGCTCCATTCACTAGCGCAGTAACAAATTAGCGAGAGCCCCCGGCTAACTTGTACACAGTTATCTCATTAGCTTGAGAATAGATAGCACAATCAGCGATACATGGTAGCGATCTCACCGGCTGACGTGCAGGAGCGTCCGCTCTTTACCGGTCCGGAGCACCTATAGGGTCCGAGCGGTGAACACCGCAGTCCCCTCCCTTGGGAGGGCGGACAGCTAGCTCGTCGCAGCCTTTGGAGGGCGAGCGTTTTCCTAGCCCGCAGCTCCGATCGAGACGATCACAAGGCTACAGGTAGCGATGAGCTAGAATCTTAATTTTCAATAAGCTAGCTTGGCTTCTACTCAAAAAGTAGTAACCTGCGCAGCGAGAAGATGAAAAAGGACTGAACTCGTTGACAACACCGGAACTTATGCCTTCCGGGGTCATACGAAGTCACACGTGACTTTGTTGATATAAATATTCGACCTACGCATGCGCAAGACGGAAGATATCCAGTGCTAAAGCACCGCCTCTGGCGGTCAGTAAGTATGAAATAGAACACACAATAGCCAGCATGTGTAGTTCTGGGGACGGAGTGGGGGAGGGGGGGACGGGGTGGACCCGTTCAAATCCAGTTTTGGACAGTCTGCCGTGGTTCCATCCCATTTCAAAGTGCTGTTCGACGCTCGGCGTAACCCTCGGCGCACACTCAAACATCCAATCACAGAGCTTGAGGACTAATCACGGGGTTTGTCAAGCGAAGCGGAGAGAATACTTACTTCCTAAAGCAACTACTATGAGCTGCTCTGAGTCCGAGTCCGACCCTCGGTCCTGACGGACTCCAACTTGTGTTTATTAATCAAACAAATAAATAAACACAAGGATAATTATGTGTTATTGTTGAGTAAATAACAGTGTGTGGTTTAGAAAATAATACAAAATTAGAAGGAAAAAACGATGAAACAATACAGATTTCAGTATTCTGAGCCCCTACTCTCCCCATAACTGACGGCAACAAAAGTCCTACATTATTCAATTAAAATAAAGAAGTAAAAACAATAAGTGTGGCTTGATATTGAGTAAGAAAAAGGTTAATAAACGCTGTGAGAATGAATCTGCGGAGAACATTTCACCGCGATCACAACTCGTCTATTACCAACGTTCAGGGAGCTCTATGCAAGTCAATGGGACGCCCTACCCGTTGAAAACTGACTCTCAAGGGGTACCCTGTGCGTAATATGGTGACGGGGAGGGGCCCTGACCACCCGTCAACATGTGACGGGTTGGGAGTGAGAACGTGTTGTATTCATGCACCACTGCAGTGCAGTTTGATGTGTGTAAATATGATCGTTCATTTTTGCATTTAAGTTACAAATCTGACTAGCTCAAAAGAATGATCATCAAATGGATCACTAAATAACTGCCAATAATAAAACATTTAAGAAAAGTTTCCCTTACATTCCAAAGACCCAATAACACTTTAATCATGTTTTGTTTATGGCTGTTTACTTTCTGTGATGCATATACTCAAACATGTCACTCATACATTTTAAACTTTCTGAAATAGATAAGATAAAAGCATCCACATTTAATGTACTGAATGTTTCTCCTAAACCACTCAATATGTGAGTATACTCTCTGTGCCTCCTCAGACACCTATTTCTAGAAAATAGTTTCACTACGTGTCCTTACACCACGTAAATCTCCCCTCACTTCTCTCTTTCTGTTTCACACACACACACACAAAATCACTTCTGCGTTCAACATGTCTTTCACTTCCCAGCTCTTCACTGCATGACTCTCTTTCTGACTTAAAGGTAAGTGTAACCGTACGCCTTTTTAGATATATTTAATTAAAACAATGTTTTTAAATCTATAGGTCAAACAAACAGTTTGAATTGTTTAATGAGTTTGAGATAACGTTGGACATCCATAATAAAATGTGCTTATGTCAAATTTATTTTTATTTGTGTCCTTATTTTAGAAGTTAAATGTTTTTTTTAAGTTCTAAGTAATCATGGTACTTTTTTTCAATGTTTTCGGCATATTCAGAGCTGCTGGTGTGTTTATTTTATGTTCATGAATGCATTTTACATCTGATAATATAATGCCACACGTGTATGTTCATGCACCCTGATGTCTATCTGCCCTTTTGGCATTAGCTGTATTAGCAGGCGGGCGAGGTAAAGTCGCAGACGGGAGACAACTACAAGACTTATCTCTCTCACACAGCTTCTGGCCGAGCCATCCGACAGCTGGTTTATCTGGAGCCACACACCCTCTCACTGGGGAAGTGTCACTCCGCAGCCCCCTCCTCCTCCTCATTCCTGCTGACTCCCTGCTCACCCTCTCCTTTCTCGCCTCACCCCTCTCTGAATGCCAGGAGCTTTTAGTCATGGAGCAGACGACAGTCACACACCAGTAAGTGTATTTTTTTTGTGTTGCCCTTACCAGCACACTGTGTTGTCACCACTGACCGCAATGGAATTACAGCAAACAGCTCACTTACTCTGCTTTTACATGCTTCTAACTAAACAGGAACATTTCTTTAATCTATTATTTCCACAAACTTAAAAATGTGCAGTGATTGAAGTGTTGCTGAAGGCCTTAATCACTCAAATTCATGAATAAATGCTGTATCATATAAAGTGGTACGATAATATCAGTGGCATTCGAGTAAAATTGTGGGGCCATGCTGCTGAACATTTTTAAAGAAAGCCAGCTGAATAAAAAAAAAATTGCTCCTCTAAGAAAATTAAACTGGCTGAATGAGTGACATGACATTTCTACTCACAGGTAAGTAAAAATGTTCTACTTTGGGACTAGTTTAACATTGAGCCTTTGGTTTAGCAACAGTTAAAGGCTTAATAAGCTGGGGGGACATTGTTCAAACATCTATCTAAAGACATGTACAAATCTAATTTCAGACCGAGGCTCTCAGTCACAGACGCCTCAGCATCAGCGATTCAAGAGGAGGAAGAGGGGGGGTTCACCACAGGAAGTCAAGATGACTTGGAGTCAAGCAATATCTATGCATTTACAGACCCAATACTCACACAGCCCGGCCTCGGCATTACCACGACAACCATCACCACCATCACACAGACGGGAGGGGGCTGGAGCACTGGCCTGTTCAACGTCTGTGGAGACAAGACTACATGTAAAGTGAAAACACAGACAGAAGCTGTATTCTCATATACGCAGGGTCCTACACACGGATCAGAGCTTTACGACTTTCTCAGCAATTAGGAACCAACAAATCACAATGAATTCAATCTTAGTTTTGTCTCACATTTCTTTTAAAGGTCACCTATTATGCAAAATCCACTTTTTCATTTATTTTATACATAAATATGTGTCCCCTCTGTGTAAACAGATTCTGAAGGTTTAAGGAAAAAAGATTCTCTCTCTTTTTGTCCCGATTCATTTATATAAAAACCTACCTAAAAATGAGCTGATCAGATTTTGGCCACTTTATGATGTCATGATTTTTTGTCTTGTGTAACCATTAGCCAATAACCAACCAAGGTAACACCCGCCCACCTTATCACCTGAATCTCCTCCTAGAGCACCATGGTGTTCTTTTTAACCAAATATCTCTCAGAGGGGTGTGGGGAGTGGCTCCTTGTATTCATCTAAAGTAACAGACAAAGAATCAGCACTTTGGAAACAGGACTGAAACAGAGGGGATTATGGGATGCTACAATGCATGAACTGTTTGGTATTTCCAGCCAAACACTTCAGAAACATGTTTGTATATATCTGAGACCTATAATATATTGATGAAAAAGAGTATAATAGGGGACCTTTAAAGCGGATTTTTGTCACAAGCAAATACACAAAGGACCCTCACTAACACACATATTGTGCTAATCTATGCTTGCAGGTGTCCTCGGGGCTCTGGTGCCGTGCTGTTTGGACCTGAGTTTAGCTCACCATTATGGCGAGTGTCTGTGTATTCCTCTGCTGCCAGGATCCACTTTTGCCATGCGAGTTGGGATCAGAGAGCGCTATAAGATACGGGTGAGTGTGTTCTTATATCAGCCTATTTAATAACCATTATCAGTTGTTATCACCTATATTGCGAAACTGCACCTACCAGGCAAAAGATCAATATGAATGTTTGCACAGTAGGTGAAGTAGGCCCCTTCTTAACCATATCCATAACACTGATACCCACTGAAAAATCTGCTTTAAAGGTCCCCTATTATACTCTTTTTCATCAATATATTATAGGTCTCAGATATATAAAAAACATGTCTCTGAAGTGTTTGGCTCGAAATACCAAACAGATCATTGTAGCATCCCATAAACCCCTCTGTTTCAGCCCTGTTTCAAAAGTGCTGATTCTGGGTCTGTTACTTTAGATTAAATAAGGAGCCACTCCCCACGCCCTTCTGCAAGATATTCGGTTAAAAAGAACACAATGGTGCTCTCGGAGGAGATTCAGGTGATAAGGTGGGGGGGGGGGGTTACCTTGGTTGCTGATTGGCTAATGGTTACACAAGCCAAATAAATCGTTATGACATCATAAAGTGGCCAAAATCTGATCAGCTCATTTTCAGACAGGTTTTTATATGGATAAGGAAAAAAAGCGAGTTAATCTTTTTGCCTGAAACTTTCAGAAACTCTCACAGACGGGACACATGTATGTATGTATAAAAGACATGAACAAGTGGATTTTGCATAATAGGTGACCTTTAATACTTCACAATAAATGGAAAACCAATACCTACCAGGAGAGTACAGAAAAGATTCAATAATATTACTACTTACTTTTTAATGTATTTTCATATATGCATCTCATGGTTCCGGGTGTTTTCCTGCTATGTTGTTGTCTCTGCATGTGTGCCGCTTCCTGTGTTTGTTTTTTGCATGCTTGTGTTTTCCTGTCTGCATGTTAATTCACAGGGCAGTGTGTGTGAGGACTGGACCGCAGTGTGTTGCTGTTACCCTCTGGCTGTATGTCAGATGATAAGAGAGATGAAGCGGAGGATGAAGACACAGACCTATCATGTGTCCACTGCCCTTGAATGCTCCTGAAGAAACTCTATACAGTAAACAAGGACTTTCCTTTTACAATGCAAGAACGACTGGTGAGGGTCTTATGAGATTACAGTATGAATAGCACAACAAAATCAATAACGTTTTAGATGCCCCTGGGGATGCAGGAAAATTAGAACTGTAAAGTCTAAATGTAGTTTGAAGTGCTTAAAAAGGCCTCAGAGATTTTGAGATTGTAACCATATTCGTTTTTTTTTGCAAGAACAACAACAAGAACTCATCAGCTTTATTTTGAGTTAGGTGAAGCAGGTAGCAGGACGCACGCTTATTTAGTTTCAGCAGCTGTCACTGTCAGCTAAACATCTGGTACAGTCAGTCAACAGAAAATAAACAAAAAACGGGCAACTTTCTTGAGTTCTGAATACGTTTTGAAGCATGCAAACTGAAGTGGCTTCCTGAGTAACTTGAGCAAGATACAGCCATATTATAAGTTATAAAACCATTTTTAATATATATATTTTTTTATATGCAATACACATGTTTGTATGTATTTCTATAGAAGTCAGTTTACCCATATGCCTTTGAATGTTTGAATAAAGAAAACTCAGTAACAACTTATATTTCCAGATATTCAATGAAGTATGCTGAGAAGAGTTTATTGACCAACATTCTTTAACAGAAAGCGATACAGGTGAAGTCAAAAAGTGAATTAGGTGAACCGACTCTTTCATTTTGTCACGTATTCCAAAGGGCACCAGACATTGTGCTTTGTCCCTCTTAGACATAAAGGGAAGATGAAGTGTAGAAACATAAAACGTTCAAGACCTTGAGGTATAAATTGTGAAATGTGGACATAATTCAACATAGTAAATCTACAAATCAGACTTAACACTTCTCATTTCAGCCTCACACAGATACAAATTCAAGTAAAGCCGGAGAAGCTCAGAAAAGCCTTTTCAGCTCGATTTGATATAAGTGGTCATTTGGTTTCTTAAATAAGACTCAATGGCTTTAAGAGTTGTTTCATTGATCTCAGTGCGCCAATCCATTTAATATACAGAACAATTTTTCCGATTACCCGGAAAACAGGCCGTAGCTCTGATTACAGTCACAGTTCGAGTATACAGCCTGATGATAGTAAAGATCATTTCCATATTTCTGAAATTATTTTATCTTTCTATTCTTTATTTCACTTCAAGCATTCAATGATATTATCAATCCAGACCTGATTGCTCTGGTTCCCTGAGCCCAAAATGTCAACCAGCGAGAGCGGATACGGAAAATGTTATTTCGACACAAAGCAGACGGGTTCTCAAAGGGCAAATATGTAATTTGTTAACTCTTAAGCATATGGTGCCCTACCATGCAACTGCTTCAAATGAACTGGGGGAAATAATAAAATGGGTTTAAGTGTGGAGAGATGTGAATAATGAATTATAATCTTATTTTACACACTAATCTGTTAAATCATTGCACATTTTCATAACTAGATTTCCCTTTTATCTGATTATTTTGTTGTTGATTTTAAACATATTGGAACTCATCATTCTTGTCTGACGTGGGGTGTTACTGAAGTAAAGACGGATGAAGTGTCAGAAGGACCGAATTATCCACATTGCATGAGAACAAATCACTTCAGATTGTAGGCCTTGCACCATTCAATCAAACGCAGCGGTGTGCAAGCAATTTCTTCCCACTAAAAGCTTTAGTGAAAAAATAATGCTTTGGTTTGCATTATGGGGGATTCCACCTACAGATGTATGTCCCATTGTGACTTTTTGAATTCACACAAAGAACAGTCGCTGCTGTGTTTCACTGAACATCAGAGAAACTTCAGCAAAAAATGTCTTTCAATTCCCAGCTTGGAACATGATTCATAGAGTAAAATATAGCAAATGGCGCAGATCAGTAAAACTACCCAGAATAACCTCAAAACAGAAGTTGTTGTTGTTTCCAAGATTGTATATTTTATGTTCGGTCCTCAGTTACAGAAATATGTTAATGAAAGTTTCATGACAGCAGTGACATACTGTAAATTCTGGATAATAAGGATTGCGATGTCTGCATTAGGCTCCAGTGTTTACTGAGTCGCTCTGAATGAATACATCTCCGTGCTGCTCCACTGCTCTCTGCCTACCGGGGGTTGTTAGTGAGCAGATCTGCCTCGAGCCATGCTGCCTTCAGGCGCCGTGGTAGCATCTTTCCCTCCCTGTGTATTGACCAAATGTTATTGCTTCAGCATCAATAGCTTTAAGGGTGTATTTGAATTGCAAAGCAAATGTATTTCCAATTTACCAAGCCAATTTAAAATGCCCTACATGCTCATTCCAACTGTATATCTTTATCTACACAGATTTTAAGTAATAAGTGATGTATCACTGTTGTTTGAAGTAAGGCTAATCTTTTTCACTTTAAAGGGTAATTTTAACATTTTCCTATTTCTATTTGGGGTGAATTTATGTATTTAGTTTGATTGAACATGACACAAAATATCCAATTATTGAATGAACATGTCTGCTGATAGTTTACACATTTTATATTTTTACTGCATCACCACCATGATCACCACACATACTCACACAGCCCGGCCTTACGTCATCTCTACCAGACACACCTCCACTCCTGAACCATTAGGGGGCAGTGTTGCTCCGGATCTGGACCCCCGTTGGCTGTTTCCTATTCCCACAGCCTCGTCTTAAGTGCTGATCTGGGGTCAGAGTTGGGATTTCCACAGCAGTTGTAGCCTACAGGTCAAGATTTGGAACAGTGAAGCCCATCCTCACTCAGCAGCCCGACAGAGACCATAAAGCATCTCTGCAGAGGATGTTTCCTGCTGTTTCAGCACAAACACGACCCACCCCCCCCATGCATCAGGTGCAGAGTAGGATGTTATCGACAGTGGCCCCTCTGGGAGCCATGTTAGTGTGGGTGTGGAAATGTGTGTGATGTATGCAGATGTATCCTGGAAGGCCCTTCCCATAATTGCGCTCATCGTGGACAGTTACTGGTACAGAGGACGAGCCAGTAAACAGATAAAACACAAAACACCGCACAGGGGGGGAAATAATTCATCCCCTCCTGAGCTGCACAGGACTGAACAACAACCAGCTGAAGGTGGAGTGTTTGTGCTTCCAGAAACGACACACTGACATTTCTGAAATGGATAATACCTTTCACTTCTCTCTTCCTTCGCCTCTCCTGCATCTATTTTCTCTTCATCATCCTCTTTTTCTTGCCCACCCTCTACCCTCAATAATCTTATGTCTATTCCCACATTTCCTCTGTCCTCTTTTATTTATTTACTTCTTTCTGACTCCTGCTCGTGGGTGTGTTTGAGAGCGAGGTGTGGAGAGAGCTGCTAAGCTGGAGCACTCGTCCCCCTGGTGATTCTTCTATCCAGGACAATAAGCATCACCTGGGGTTTACATAACACACACTTCCTCACACTCTCTCTTCATATCACTTTCACCTTGCCCTCTCTGTTTTTCATTCTGTCTTTCTCTCACACACATCACTTGTCTTGTTTTGGGTTGTGTGTGTTTATGTGTGATGATGGAAGCCTGGAATTTGTTGGCACCGCTCCGCTCCTCAGGCTAAGGAGGCGGTTTTATAGATGTTTCCTCCCAAAGACAGACAGGAGTAGGATTTCATTGTAGGAATGATTTGAAAACCACTGTCATACAGAGGGATTAGAATACTAGAGATTTGCCCGCTCTTGTAGTTGTTGTGCCTCTGGAAAACAATGTATCACTAAATTCATTGTATGAAAAGAAAAGGGAGGTTGATTTTGTTTCACGATATAAACTGTGTGTCCTTTGAGGTCATTACACTGTGGCAGTTGCCAGAACTAGAAAACATGGCAGATGGCTTTCTTTTCCTCTAGCATTAATTAAAATAAACAAATATGGGCTATGGTTACAATGTTGTTGATACTGAATAATAACAAATGTGTTTGTTGTGTGTTAACATTGTACCTACACATTGAAAAGGTTTATGAATAAATAAGCATATAACACTACATTTGACCTATACAGTATATCCTATTTCAATAACTTGCATATAGACTCTTATTGCACTATTTCACTTTTTAAAACGATTTTTCTTTTTTTATTTACTAGCACTATATTTGTTCTGTGATTTGTGTCGCTCTTTTGGAGAAGCCTGTGACACAAGATTTTCATGGGCATAACTACACTGTAACTATGTTCGTATGACAAATAAAGAACCTTGAACCTTGACTTCAAAGTTACATTTAAATTAGAGGTACGTGTCTTATTGAAAGGAAGTCTTATGTGACCACATTTATAAGTGAGCTGAAGCAATATAAGGAAAACAAAAAGAAGGTTAAAACAGGTCCAAAAGTCTAAACCTTTGTTTTCCAGGAGAAAACATAATTAATATGCAAAGAGTACAGTCTGTTGAGAACACGGCGTGCGAAAATATACGGGTCGTGCTCTAGCTAGATTTTCCTGTCCTCTGCAAGAAGTTGTCGGCGACTGACGTGCGAGGAAGAACGGCTGTTCACAGGCTGTTCCAACTTTAACAACTTTATTAACTTCCAGGGTAGTGAATTGAACATGCAATTGTAATTGAGTGTGACAGTCTCAAAAACCTTTGGACAGGGTTATACATTAAACACATTAACAAGTAGGATAAATGAAGTTCGAAATAATCCTGAACGATTACAAAATATTATAATAATCACAATTTAATAATCAGGATTATTCCTAAACACCGTTTAAGCTCAAGGTCGAAACCAATCGCAGAACATTTCTCAGTCTCTGTGCACACTGGTGCTCAATACAATTAGAAGCATTTTTTTTTTTAAATGAAATGGTTCGACAATTAGAGGCCATGAGATTAAAGCTAAAACAAGAATAAAAGAAAGAATCAGGTTATTTTTCTTTCTATCCTGCTTTGCAAATGTCTTGCTATTCTTGTAGAGGTATAATCGTCCAACATTTATTTGAGTCCCTGTTGAGATCAAATACAGAAACCTTAGTGCCTTCATGGCCTTTTGATTCTTGCAGAAACATGCATCATGATGATTATGAAAGGACAGGTCCTTGATTTCTCATTGGAGGCCTGGAGGCCCACTATTGCACCATATGAAGCACTATTCCTAAATGTCCCACAGAAAACCTGAGGTGATACACACTCCCTTTGAAGGTGTCATGGTGGCTTCTCTCTTGTGACAACTTCAAAGAGAGTGTTTTGGCCAGGAGGAATTTGTTGGCATTTCACTGTGCAATGAGCAACTCTTGATAGCAGTCACCTCGCAGAGAATCTCACCACCTAAAATGATTCAGTCGGACTCGAAAAATATGTTGTTTCTCCATATAGCACAGCACAGAGTGGTAGGAACTGTCATTGCAGATAAGACCTAACATTATCCCAGGAGATTCACTTCTCATTATTCACTTTATTTACTGCTGGCTGATGTGACAAAGGAGAGTAGATGCCATGCCGCTCTGACAGAATCACGCTTCACTTTAAGCTCTGAGGCTTGCATCCTGTAATATCTCTGCACAGTCTGTGGACATCAGTGCAGAAAAAGGTCAAATGTGCCGAATTGACTTGGATATTTAAAGATTTGAAAAATGAATAGACATGTAAGC